CAGTTGCCTCTGGTTAGTCTCTTCAGTATTTATTTTTTTCCAATTATATTTGCTTTTTGATACATTCGAATTTTCCAACAAAGAGCATGCATTTCTTTTAAGATCAGAAAACAAAACTGTGAGGCTGGGAGAAAAAACGTTTTAATCAAATGTGAACTAGCAAGCAGGAACAACAATATTAATGTAAGAAGAACTAAATCCAGGGCAAAAAAAAAAAAAACAGGGTATGCTTCTAAGATAAAGAGAGCATTACATAATGGTAACAACCATCGCTATTAATGAAGCCATGCAGATACAAATCTGTAGTTGCCAAGAAACTGACAACAAGATACCAGAAAACAAATATTAGGAACACAGGAAGGAAGAGTCATTATAAAAGGAGATTTTAAAACACCATTGTCAAAAAGACTTAAAAAAAATAAACTCATAGCCTACCAGAATACACAAAATTGATGTCTGGCAGGAATTCAATTCCATGATTACAGTACGTGGGGGTCTTTTTAAATAGATGCAGAACATTTACAAAACTCGATAATACCAGTTACAAAGAACATTGTAATAAAATGAAAAATATTAGATTCCTCTTCTAGTTCAAGAGAAGAGATTTCTGGCCTGGGGAAAAAACATAGAGAACAGAATCAGGAACTGAAAAGAGGGAGATCATGTTAATATCATCAACTCCTGGTCCCCTGGGTATTTGGGAGAGGAGGAAGATGATGAATGGATATTGATTTATGGTCTGGCTGAACCAAATACCTCTTCCTCCTATTTTCTTACTCACTAAACATCTTCATGTAGACCTGAAATGTGAACCATTAAAATGGGACTCAGACAGGGCTCAAGGCATGGTTGCTTAACCCAGTGGTTCTCAAAGTGTGTTCCCCACACAAGCTACATCAGCATCAAATAGGAGCTTATAAGAAATGCAAATTTTCAGCCCTACCCCAAGCCTCCTGAAGTAGAACTTCCTCCAGGGTGGAGTCCCAGGGGGTTCTTACACTAAAACATTTGATGTTAGAGGTGTATAAATACCCCAGCTTCCTCACCCTTGGAGCAAGTTAACTCTGAGGTCTGAGTTTACACGGGCTCTTGGAATTTCCCCAGTGAAATTAAGCTGTCACCCACAGTACCAATCTTTTGGGGATGCTTTCTCTACCTATTCTTACTTCCCCAGTACCCTACTGGTGCTCTCTTCACCTCCCAAATAAACTACTTGCACTCTTGATGTGAATAAACCCATCTACTTGCAGATGTTTATTTCAGGGTCTGCTTCTGGGGGAACCCAAATGAAGATACCTACTAGTATGGTTTGAATATTTGTCCTCTCTTAATCTCATGTTAAAATGTGACCCCCAATGTTGGAGGTGAGGCCTGGTGGGAGATGTTTGGGTCATGGGGGTGCATCCCTCATTTATGGCTCAGTGCCTCCTTCATGGTAATGAGTAAGTTCTCAGGGAATCTGGGACCTCCCTCCCACTCTCTTGTTCCCTCTCTCACCATGTGACACTCACTTGCTCCCCTTCCCTTCTGCCATGACTGAAAGTTTCTGAGGCTTCACCGGAAGGCAAGCAGATGCCAAGCAGATGCTGGTGCCATGGTTCTTGTACATTCTGCAGAACTGTGAGACAAATAAAACCTCCTTTTTAAATAAATCACCCAAGGCCAGGCATGGGGACTCACATCTATAATCCCAGCACATTGGGAGGTTGAGGCAGGACGATCATTTGAGCCCTGGAGTTTGAGAGTAGCCTAAGCAACATGCCAAAACCCCATCTCCACAAATTTTTATATATATAAAAATTAGCCAGGCGTGATGGCACATGCCTGTGGTCCCAGCCTCTTAGGAGGCTGAGACAGGAGGATCACCTGAGCCCAGGAGGTGGAGGCTGCAACAAGCTGTGATCGCACCACTGCACTACAGCCTGGGTGACAGAGTGAGACCCTGTCTCAAAATCAATCAATCAATCAATCAATCTCTCAATCAATCAATCACTTGCCTCAGGAATTCCTTTGTAGCAACACAAAATAGACTAATACACCTACTGAACCCAGTAAGTGTCTAACCCTGTACTGGAGATCCCTGCAGTCAAGGAGGTGCAGTTATGGCTGCGATTGCCTTAACCTTCCCTTCCTCCTCCTGGGCTGGGCTCTACCTAGATTTCCACAGGAGAGGGTGTACCACTGGCAATGAGTTTTCACCCCAATCCAGCCCGATCTGCAGTTCATGCTCCTCTCTGGGTGTTCTAGCCCTGGGCTATCTCTAGTCATTTTGCCACTAGCTCACACCTGCCCTTTTCTTAGCCCTACCTGGCTTCATCATGCACGCCCTTGTTGAAAGACTTAATGAGTTTCAACCACCAGTCAGGCCCTGGGAAACAACATCTCACCTATTTCAGAGAGTCCGCTGTGCAGACACACTTCAAGCTAATAAGTGTGACAGCTAGTAGCAAGGTGCTGAGATAGCACAGAACCAGGGCCTCATTATCCTAAAGGTGTATAAATACCCCAGCTCCCTTGCACTTGGAGCAAGTTAACTCTGAGGTCTGGGTTTACACTGGCTCCTGGATTTTCCCCAGTGGGATTAAGCTCTGTCACCCACAGTACCAATCTTTTTAGGATGCCTTCCTTTCACAATCTTACTTCCCCACTCAGAGGTTAGAAGAGGCTTCTCTGAGGAAGTGCTTTGCTGGAGACAGCTGGGGAAATATAGAGGGAGTCCCTGCAGGGGTGCATGGAAGGACTGCTGGAGCAAGATGTCTGTGGTAGGTGCAGAGAAATGCCACAGAGCAGACAGCCATGGGCATGTCAAGGAAAGAGAATTTGCTGCACGACTTAGAGGCTTCCAGGAACTGAAAGAGCCTCCTTCTCACAAGGAGACAATCATTCTCAGGTTTAGAAGAATCTATAGATAACTAATGGCCAAAGGTAAGGAAATAAAACTAGGGATGTGAAAAATCCACCAAATGACCCAACTCTGTAAGCCAGAGATCCCAGAGAAGGCATACTACTGGGCCCAGGTGCATCCAAGCCCTTCAGAAGAGTGGGCCGGTTCAGAAGCGCCAGGGACATCAGCTCCCAGGCTGATTAAATAGGAGAGGCTCATTCCTGTGCTCCTCAAGATAATCCGGTTTTAAACAGGACCCATGGCATTGCCTCCTCCTCACCATCTTCCAGACGCCGGAGCAGCTTGCAGGGTAATCCCTCTCCTACCCAGCACAATGAAAGGAAGGGGTTTAGCCTACCCCTAATCCTGTAGTCGCTCAGAAGATAAGCTTTCTTGGCCTTCAGGCACTCACTCTAGCTGGCCTTCTTTTATCTCATGAGCTTGTGGGGGTCGCTCCCAGCAGTGAGCACACTGAATTTTGCAGGTTGGGATCCAACACAAAGGCACCATTAGCAACACCCACCCCCACTGCCCTGGATACCATGCCTTTGTCCAACTATTAAATATCTCCAAGGACCTCCCAGGAGTTTTGTTAGTGACATGCAGTATTTTCCTGTTGTACAGTTTCCATTGAGCCATCACTCCTATTAGCGCTGAATTCCAGAAGATCAGCAAACACCACTCATTTCTACGTAAGACCATTTTGGGCACGGTGGCCCAGAGGAGAATTCCAGTGTAGACAAACAGTTCCTAACACAGGATGGAATTTTTTATTTTGCTTTTTGGAGAAGGACGACAAAGATGGGGTGTGCGGTGGGGAGTGGAGGAGGAATTCAGCTCTTCACTGTCATCTACTTTAGGTAACGAGAAGAGGGAAGTTCATCTAGATCCATGGCCAGTCAATGAGTCTAATGAGCCCTAGAGCAGCGGTCCTCAACCTTTTTGGCACCAGCGAGCGGCTTTGTGAAAAACAATTTTTCCATGGAACATGTGGGTCAGGGGAGATGGTTTCAGGATGAAATTGTTCCACCTCAGATCATCAGACATTAGATTCTCATAAAAAGATTGCAACCAGCCAGGCGCAGTGGCTCATGCCTGTAATCCCAGCACTTTGGGAGGCTGAGGAGGGCAGATCACCTGAGGTCAGGAGTTCGAGACCAGCCTGACCAACACAGCAAAACCCTGTCTCTACTAAAAATACAAAAATTAGCCAGGCATGGTGGTGTATGCCTGTAGTTC